GGCCTGGACTGCTACCAATATGCGGACGATACCCAACTCCTTCTGCGCATGGAGCCTGGAACAACGTCAATTCCAGACAATTTCACCTGGAAGCTCTGTCGAACTGGCTACATGCTAGCAGACTGAAGGTGAACCCGGCGAAGACTGAGATTCTCTGGCATGGCCGCCCGACAGGTCTGACTCCTCCATTGCTCACCTTCGATGGTGCCACTCTATCTCCACTGACCACTGTTGAGAGCTTAGGTGTCGTCCTAGATTCGCAGCTGACAATGGAAGCTCAGGTCGCTGCTGCCAGCAAACAGGCCTTTTTCCATCTACGACAAGCGAAGCAACTGGCACCCTACCTATCTGACGAGGCTCTGGCAACTGTCATCCATGCCACGGTCATGTCTAGGCTGGACTATTGCAACGCCCTGTATGCTGGCCTTATGTCTATGACCCGAAAGCTCCGTATTGTTCAGAATGCGGCAGCCAGGTTACTCACAAGAACGCCCATGAAATGCCATATAACACCAGTGCTGCAACATTTACATTGGCTTCCAACTGAGTACCGTGGCCTGTATAAGATGCTAGTTCTGACCTTTAAAATTCTTTACGGCCAGGGTCCATCGTACCTTACTTCTCCCATCATCGGAGGTCGCAACGACCAGCCCAACGCAACTTACTCTATATACCGGGTCCTAGAAAAGTGCACTTGGAAAGTACCAGACGCAGGGCTTTTTCTATTTCTGCCCCGCCTTATGGAATTCCTTGCCGCCCTACATGAGAGCCATGCGTGACTTAGGGCCTTTTACTCTAGCACTTAAGACCTGGCTTTTTACTAGAGCATTCGATCTCTGTTAATTTTTAAATTCTGTATGTATGTATTTTATCTTTTACAATTTAGCTGTAAATCGCCTGGAGCATTCTCGGATGGAGGGCGATTAATAAGTAATTAAATATGATGATGATGATGATGATGATGATGATGATGATGATGATGATGAGTCTACACTGAGAAAACTTCTTCCAGCATGCTGACGGTTGTCCACTTGTCTTCCCAAGAGATCTGCAGGATTTTTCAGACAGAGATGATGGAATTGTTCCAGGAGTTGCGTATGGTGTCTGTAGACAATCCATGTTTTGCAGGCGTGTAGCAGGGTTGGGAGCACCTTGGTATCCCTATGGATTTCCCAGTCTTCAAACACTCTCTGCTTCATTCGGAAGAATGCTGCACTTGCAGAGCTCAGGCAGTGTTATATTTCAGTGTCAATGTTGACTTTTGTGGAGAGGTGGCTGCCAAGGTAGCGGAGATGGTCAATTACTGAGAATAAGTGCCAGGGAAGAGCAAAAGACTGAGGCATTTTTGACTTTTGAGATAATTGACAGCTTTGTGCAGGCATGGAAGAAGCTGAAATCTCCCAGTTTTCAATCTAGTGAAGATGTTGGCACTGGCACACAATAACTTATTTGGAAAAGGTGCCAGATTTTGCAGTTTTGAAATTTGAATTTGTATTTACACACATTTTAAAAACACTCTGGGAGTCTGTCTATATATATATATATTTACTCCCAGACTGTTTTTAAAGTAGTTGCTAAGCAATTGTATCACTTTGATTTCTTAGGGCATAACAAACCATCTAAATCAAAGCTGTGGAAACATTTGCCCTCTGTATGTATGTGTATGGGGAGCCCCTGGATAAAAGCACTGAGTGGGTAAAAGCACTGAGCTGCTGAGCTTGTTGACTGAAAGGTCGCAGGTTGGAATCCGGGGAGCAGTGTGAGCTTCTGCTGTCAGCCCCAGCTTCTGCCAACCTAGCAATTCAAAAACATGCAAATGTGAGTAGATGAATAGGTACCACTCCGGCAGGAAGGTAGCAGCATTCCATACAGTCATGCCGGCCACATGACCTTGGAGGTGCCTACGGACAATGCCGGCTCTTTGGCTTAGAAATGGAGATGAGCACCAACCGCCAGAGTGTGACACAACTGGACTTAAATGTCAGGGGAAAACCTTTATTTTTAGCTATGTATGTGTGTGTGCATATACACACACACACATATACAGAAGGCAGATGTTTCCACAACTTCGCCCTAGGAAACCAGCATGGTTTTTTAAAGATGTTTTTAAACAACGGATTAAAAGTAGATTTAACTGTTTTTATTGTTTGTGTATATTTATAGTTATTTTATGTTTTGACATGGAATGCTTTCCATATATGTGCTGTCCTGTGTCCCCTTTGGGGTTAAAAGGACAGAATATAAATGTTTTAAGTACATAATTAAATAAAGTTATACAATTGCTTAGCAACTACTTTAAAAACACTCTGGGAATAAAAAGATTAGATAGATAGATAGATAGATAGATAGATAGATAGATAGATAGATAGATGGATAGATAGATAGATACTAGCCACCCCCTGCCATGCGTAGCTGTGGCCCACATGAGGGTTCTGTGTGGGAGGTTTGGCCCAATTCTATCGTTGGTGGGGTTCAGAATGCTCTGTGATTGTAGGTGAACTATAAATCCCAGCAACTACAACTCCCAAATGCCAAGATTCTATTTTCCCCAAACTCCAACGGTGTTCACATTTGGGCATATTGAGTCTTTGTGTAGAGTTTGGTCCAGACCCATCATTGTTTGAGTCCACAGTGATCTCTGGATGTAGGTGAACTACAACTCCAAAACCAAAGGACACTGCCCACCAAACCCTTCCAGTATTTTCTGTTGGTCATGGGAGAACTGTGTGCCAAGTTTGGTTCAATTCCATCGTTGGTGGGGTTCAGAATGTTCTTTGATTGTAGGTGAACTATAAATCCCAGCAACTACAACTCCCAAATGACAAAATCAATTTTTTTTGAGTGAAGGACATACATTGGGTTGTTAGGTGTATGCTGTCCAAATGTGGTGTCAATTGGCCCACTGATTTTTGAGTTCTGTTAATTCCACAAATGAACATTACATTTTTATTTATATAGATTATTATTATCTTTTCACTCCCAGAATGTTTTTAAAGTGTGTGTATGTGTGTGTGTATGTGTGTGTGTATGATTCCAGATCAGTGAAAAGATACATAGCTTTCGCAAGGCAAAAACGATTTGCCTTCATCAAAGCTCTCAATGAAAGCATTCAGTGACATCTAGAGGCAACTCACTTAATTACTTGTACTTTGTGCCATGTTTGTTTTTAAACATTCAGTTGCCTCTTGTTCATTCACTTTACCATTTGGATCAATATAGAATACTAGCTGTCCCCTGCCACGCATTGCTGTGGCCCAATCTGTTGATCTGGAAAATAAAATAATGAGAAAATTTTGGTTTCTAATATATGTAATTGATTTCTGCTTGTGGGTAAACATTATTTATTGCTGTTTCTTTGTCAGTGTTGATGTGGAGATTGTCTGGTTTGCCTCCTCTGGAACATACAAGGTATCATTGTCCTTCTTTAAGGGTCCCTTTCAAGTCTATGATACTATATCTGTGTGTGTGTGAATCATGCCTATCTATCTATTTATCTATCTATATCTATGTTAGGAGGGCTTTGATTACGTTTTCTTGCCTTGATGAAGGGAGTTGGATTTCTATTGGTCATAGGGGTTCAGTGTGGGAAGTTTGCCTTGATTCTGTCGTTCATGGGGTTCAGAACGCTCTTTGATTGTAAGTGAACTGTGAATCCCAGTGACTACGACTCCCAAATGTCAAGGTCTATTTCCCCCAAACTCCATCTGTGTTCATATTTGGGCGTATTGAGTGCTTCTGCCAAGTTTGGTCCAGATCCATCATTGTTTGAGTCCACAGTGCTCTCTGGATGTAGGTGAACTACAACTTCCAAACTCAAGGTCAATGCCCACCAAACCCTTCCAGTATTTTCTGTTGGCCATGGGAGTTGTGTGTGCCAGGCTTGGTTCAATTCCATCACTGACGGAGTTCAGAATGCTCTTGGATAGCAGGTGAACTATACATCCCAGAAACTACAACTCCCAAATGTCAAGGTCTATTTTCCCCAAACTCCATCTGTGTTCATATTTGAGGGTATTGAGTGCTTGTGCCAAGTTTGGTCCAGATCCATCCTTGTTTGAGTCCACAGTGCTCTCTGGATGGAGGTGAACTACAACTCCCATACTCAAGGTCAATGCCCACCAAACCCTTCCAGTATTTTCCCCAAACACCACGAGTCTTCACATTTGGTCACATTGGGTATGGTCCTGATTCATTATTGCCAAGCTTGGTCCTAATCCATTATTGTTTGAGTCCACAATGCTCTCCGGATGTAGGTGAACTACAACTCCCAAACTGAAGGTCAATGCCCACCAAACCCTTCCAGTATTTTCTGTTGGTCATGGGAGTTCTGTGTGCCAAGTTTGGTTCTATTCCATCATTGATGGAGTTCAGAATGCTCTTTGATTGTAGGTGAACTATAAATCCCAGCAACTACAATTCCCAAATGACAAAATCATAATATTTTGAGTGATGGTCATTCCTTGTGTTGTGAGACATTTTGTTGCCAAATTTGGTGTGATTTTGTTCATTGGTTCTTTTGTTTTTAAGGTACTCATTATGACTAGAGCATTTTTTGGAGTACTTAGAAGAGACCCCATGGGCCATCCAGTCCAACCCCCTGCCAAGAAGCAGGAAAATCACATTCAAAGCACCCTCAACAGATGGCCATCCAGCCTCTTTTTAAAAGCCTCCAAAGAAGGAGTCTCTACTTTTGGAATACAATGGAGTTAAAACACATTTGGCAGGGGGTAAAATTTTTGAGTGAAGAAGATAGGCACACGGGCATTCCCATTTTATCTTGCCTGTGAGATAAAAGCGGGATAATAATAATAATAATAATAATAATAATAATAATAGATTATTCCTGTAAAAAAACACACAAACAAAAGTCATATTCTAAGCAATGTCATCTTATTGTAGAACATATGGAGATTAGATATACTACAATAGATCTAATGTTTCAAAGAAAGCCCAACCATCTGAAAAAGTGCTTTTAACCAAATGACAGAATTGAGAGGGGGGGGGGGGGAATCAGTCTTCTGTATTTTCCAGTGCTTCTATATCTTCAGGATCAAGTTTCTTTATAATGATCTCTAAGAAAGAAAGAGAGAAAGAAAGAAAGACGTTAACAATAGTAATAGTAATAATAATAATAATAATAATAATAATAATAATAATAATAATAACAACAACACTTCATTTGTATCCCGCCCTATCTCCCCATGGGGACTCAGGCTGGCTTCCAACATAGTAACAGGCAAACATTCAATGCCTATATAAACAATGCAGAGCTAGATATTATTTATTTATTTATTTACTTACTTACTTCGCTTATATACCGCAATTCTCAGCCTAATGGCGACTCATTGCGGTGTACAACATAGTAAAACAGGTGCAAAATACAAACATAGTGAAAAATAATCCGCAGTACATCATTATCAAAACATCTCATCAAAAACATCAACATTATTACAAAGCCATTCAGAGTTGTCTCATCGTCAAACCCACAATCCGATACCATTTCCGTAGTTCCATTCCTAAGGTCAAGTTACCAGTCATTGCACTTCTATTCAAATGCCTTCTTAAACAGCCAGGTCTTTAGCTTCCTACGGAATATCAACAGGGAGGGGGCTAGCCTGATGTCTATAGGAAGGGTGTTCCACAGCCGAGGAGCCACCACTGAGAAGGCCCTATCTCTCGTCCCCGCCAGCCGTGCCTGTGACGCAGGCGGGATCGAGAGCAGGGCCTCCCTGGAAGATCTCAAAGTCCTCGTGGGCTCATAGGCCAAGAGGCGGTCAATTAGGTATCTTGGGCCGGAACCGTTTAGGGCTTTATAGGCCAATGCCAGCACCTTGAATTGAGCTCGGTAGCAGATTGGCAGCCAGTGGAGCTGGTACAGCAGGGGGGTTGTATGCTCCCTGCGCCCCGCTCCTGTTAGTATCATGGCTGCCGCACATTGGACCAGTTGGAGCTTCCGGGCCGTCTTCAAGGGCAATTTAACATATGCATTTCCCCCCGAAACATTTGCAAATCCTCTCTCTCTCTCTCTATGTGCATTTCCCTCCTGCAATATTTGCAAGACCTATATATCTATGTTTATATCTATCTAGACATCTCTCTCTCCATATATATACGTGTGTGTGTGTGTGCATTTCCCCTGCAATATTTGCAAGCCCTATATATCTATATTCATATCTATCTAAACATGTCTCTCTATATTTGTGTGTGCATTTCCCCTGTAATATTTGCAAGCCTATATATCTACATATATATCTATCTCGACATCTCTCTCGCTATAGATAATTATATCTATATAGAATTTGCAAATACTTGCAAACATGTGAGGGGAAAATAATATTTGCAAGCCTATATATCTACATATATATCTATCTCGACACCTCTCTCGCTATAGATCATTATATCTATATAGAATTTGCAAAGACTTGCAAACATGTGAGGGGAAAATAATATTTGTAAGCCTATATATCTACATATATATCAATCTATCTCTACATCTCTCTTGCTATAGATAATTATATCTATATAGAATTTGCAAAGACTTGCAAACATGTGAGGGGAAAATAATATTTGCAAACCTATATATCTACATATATATCTATCTATCTCGACATCTCTCTTGCTATGGATAATTATATCTATATAGAATTTGCAAAGACTTGCAAACATGTGAGGGGAAAATAATATTTGCAAGCCTATATATCTACATATATATCTATCTATCTCGACATCTCTCTTGCTATAGGTAACTATATCTATATAGAATTTGCAAAGACTTGCAAACATGTGAGGGGAAAATTCATAAATATATGTGTGTGTGTGTGTGTAGACACATATACATACACACACCGATAGACAGATATATGTTGTTGTTCATTTGTTCAGTCGTTTTTTACTCTTAGTGATCTCATGGACCAGCCCACACCAGAGCTCCCTGTCCACCATCACCACCCCCAGCTCCTTCAAGGTCAATGCAGTCACTTCAAGGATGCCATCCATCCATCTTGCCCTTGGTCGACCCCTCTTCCTTTTTCCTTCCATTTTTCATGAATTTTTTTGTTTGACAGACATAGATCGGATTAGAATGTGTTTTGCTGCAAATTTGGTGTAATTTTGTCCAGTGGTTTTTGAGTTCTGTTAATCCCACAAACGAACATTACATTTTTATTTATATAGATAACTAGCTGTCCCCTGCCACGCGTTGCTGTGGCCCAATCTGTTGATCTGGAAAATAAAGGGAATGAGAAAGTGTTGGTTTCTAATATATGTAATTTCTTTCTGCTTGTGGGTAAACAGTATTTCTTTCTGTTTCTTTGTCAGTGTGGATGTGGAGAGTGTCTGGTTTGCCCTCCCTGGAACATGCAACATATCATTGTCCTTTTTTAAGGGTCCCTTTCAAATCTATAATACTATATCTGTGTGTGTGAGAATCATATCTGTCTATCTATCTATCTATCTATCTATCTATCTATATCTATCTATGGCTGGATGGCTCTTTGTCAGGAGAACTTTGATTACGTTTTCTTGCCCTGATGAAGGGAGTTGGATTGGATGGCTTTAAGTATTTTCTGTTGGTCATGGGAGTTCTGTGTGGAAAGTTTGCCCTGATTCTGTCGTTCGTGGGGTTCAGAATGCCCTTTGATTGTAGGTGAACTGTGAATCCCAGTGACTACAACTCCCAAATGTTAAGGTCTATTTCCCCCAAACTCCATCTGTGTTCATAGTTGGGCGTATTGAGTGCTTGTGCCAAGTTTGGTCCAGATCCATCATTGAGTCCACAGTGCTCTCTGGATGTAGGTGAACTACAACTCCCAAACTCAAGGTCAATGCCCACCAAACCCTTCCAGTATTTTCTGTTGGTCATGGGAGCCCTGTGTGCCAAGTTTGGTTCAATTCCATCGTTGATGGAGTACAGAATGCTCTTTGATTGTAGTTGAACTATAAATCCCAGGAACTACAACTCCCAAATGACAAAATCATATTTTTTTGAGTGATGGTCACTCCTTGTGTTGTGAGACATTTTGTTGCCAAATTTGGTGTGATTTCATTCATTGGTTCTTTTGTTTTTAAGGAACTCATTATGCACAGAGCATTGATATATATATAGATGTAATGAATTAACTAGAGGAAGTCGTAGTATAGAACTGATACAGCTGTATTATAAACAACACTGTGTAAATGATGGGGTAGAGATGGGGGAGTATAGATCTGGGAATAGATGATGTATTGTAACAAGACAACAGTGCTATATGAAACATGTGAAATTAAATGTCAGGAGAAATACAATTACTTACTGAAATGCTCTTCAATTGAGAATAGAAGAGGTAAGTTGTGCTTTTCAACCATGTTGAACGCTATGCCTTTCTTCCCAAAGCGACCCGTCCGCCCAATGCGGTGCAGGTAAGTCTCAAAATCAGCAAGATACATCGCTTTGGTTGGCAGACTGAAGTTGACCACGATTGTGACTTGCTTCACATCAATACCTACAAGGTAGCATATAAACATGGTGACGTTTTGCTGAAACAACCTGCACTAAAGTACCGAGTCATGGGCAGCTCTAAATTGTTTTGGCTTCTGCAAAACCCTACCTCTGGCGCAGACGTTGGTCGAGATGAGGACTTTGTCCTTCCCATCCCGAAAGTTCTGGATCACCTCCGCCCTTTGCTCAACAGTCAGCTCCCCACTCAGCAGCGACACTTGGTGGCCATCTTTTGTCAAGGACCAGTAGAGCCAGCTGGCATTTTTACGTGTCTAATAAAGAAACATAGGAAATAAAGGTATGGAAAATGTCATGGTCACACTTTTGCTAGATAAGGCCCTAGCTCCCTTAATCAAAGGGCTGGTCTTGGCCTATAAAGCCCTATACGACTCTGGCCCAGCTTATTATTTATTTATTTACTATACTTGTATACCGCCCCTCTCAGCCCGGAGGCAACACGAGGCTGTTTACATTTGGCAATCAATGCCCCACAAGATAAAATACAATCAAAAACAATTACATATAGTATAAACCATATAAAAACAATAAACAATTAAAATAATAAAATACAGTTCTCGCGTCTCATCATTAATATAATTTTCAATTGCATTGTCCTGTCATTCCATGAGTCTCAATTAATCAGTTATACTGCGTCTGAAAATGCCTGCTCCAACAGCCAGGTCTTAACTCTCTTTCAAAAGGTCAGGGGGGAGGGGGCCGATCGAATGTCCCTAGGAAGGGCCCCTGTTTCATAGCCAGGGGGCCACCGCTGAGAAGGCCCTGTCTCTCATTCCTGCCAATCGGATCTGCGAAAAAGGTGGGAACAAGAGCAGGGCCTCTCCAGATGATGTTAAGCACCTAGATGGTTCACAGGAAGAGATGTGTCCAGACAGGTAAACAAGGCCAAAACTGTTTAGGGAGGGAGATACGTTTGGAAGCTTATTTGTCCGAACGTATCTCCCTCTACTCTCCGTCTCATAGTTTAAGATCCACCAGGGATGCACTGCTCTCAGTCCCACCAGCCTGACAAACATGTCTGGTGGGGACGAGAGAAGGGCCGTCTTGGTGGTGACCCCGCACTTGTGGAATTCGCTCCCCAGCAAGATTAGATCGGCATCCTGCCTCCTTTCCTTTAGGAAAAAAAACTGAAATTGTGGTTTTGGAACCAGGCTTTTAGCTCGCAGGCACAACAGCACCTTGGACACTGAATTGGACCATATGATTGTTATGATAATGGAAATGGCTACTTAACTGTATAATTAATGTTTTGTTTTTAATCGATTGTGTATTTATGGTTTTATATTGCTGTTACATTGTGATTGCAGCATCGAATTATTGCCAGTGTTAGCTGCTCTGAGTCCCCCCTCGGGGGTTGAGAAAGGCAGGGTAGAAATATAAATAATAAATGAATAATGGTAAGTGTAGTTTTCAGCACCATCCTTGTATCAATTTCTCCCACCCCCAATTTCTGGTGATACTTGTTAATAAGGGATATCTTCTAAGAGACATAGGAAAATGCTGCAGAAAGCCTACCATATTACCCAGGACTATAGTTTTACAGGGAGCTCTGGCGTGGGCTGGTCCATGAGGTCACGAAGAGTCGGAGACGACTGAACGAATGAACAACAACATAGTTTTACAAAAACTGTTCAGACCCTCCTAGAAAACCAGTTTCTATGTGGGGTTTCAAGGCAGGAAAAGTAGGTGGAGGAGGCAAACAAATGCTTTACCACAAGCCAGCGTTCTTGCACCGACCAAGAACGGCAACATGGAAGTCACTGAACAGACTCAGAAGTGGAGTGTGCAGATCAAAAGACAACCTGGCAAAATGGCACTACCTAAAAGAGCCCTTCACCTTGCACAACTGTAGATAGAACAGACAACTTTGCATTGTTATGCTTGTCTGCAATGTCCTGCCATATGTAAAGAGGAAGAATTGTTTGAGGCTACAGACCATGCAGCTGCTGTTGCCCATTTCTGATCAAAAGCTATTTAGCTGCTTGTGCTCCTTCTATTTTTTATCAGTTTTACTCTAATTTATGTAACACTTTTGATACAAAATAAATAAAAGATAGATAGATAGATAGATAGATAGATAGATAGATAGATAGATAGATAGATAGATAGATAGAGGGTATCTGATATAAACAGTAATTCACTATTTCAAAAGTAAGAACAGGGAATCCATGACCTTCCAGGTGTAAGACTGCAGTCCCAACACACTTTACCACTTGACAGGGCTAATGGGAGTTGCATATTCCTTCAGTCATTAGATCCAATGCAAAACTCCAGGATTGCTGGGAAATCGCCTTCTCTTTGTTTCATCACTATCCCAGGCTCATCTGATGAGACAACACTAGGCCACACCTTCACCCCCAGCCACCATAGTTGATTCAGTGCAGCAGTGTATGCAGTGCCACACATTTCCTGCCCCGATTCATAATAATAATAAATAATAATAAACTTTATACCCCGCCACCATCTCCCCAAAGGGAACTCGGAGCGGCTTACCTGGGGCCAAGCCCGAACAACAAATTACAATACAAAAATACAAATTGCAGTAAAATAAACAACATAGCAATAAAGTATAAAACATCAAAGCATATAAACAATATACACAAAACATAGAAACCAAAACATAATGGCAACATTATACCGACCTTGCCCTGCATCAAAAATGTTTGGAGAATTTGCCCTTAATTCCCTTAATTCCTTTTCCTTAACAAAAAACACACACACCCATAAACAGAAGTAACCAATGTGCAACTACTCTGCTCTTCTGGTTGCCTTATTATTGTGAAGTTGAACTCCCCCAATCCTATCCCAAACCTTTGCTCTGAATTCTCTGTCAGCTCCATCCAAGTTATGCAGAATCTTACCTGGCAGAAGATAATCGCCTGGCCAATAGTGATGCTGCCATAAATATTGCACAAAGCTCTGTATTTATCTTCAATGTTCTCACACTGAAAGTAATACTGTCTGATATTCTCGAGAGTCAGCTCCTCTCGGCGGAGTTTAATAATGTTTGGGTCAGGGACAATGCGCGTAGCGAACTGCAGCACAGGGTCCTCAAAAGTTGCGGAGAAGAGGAGCATCTGGCAGTCTTCTGATAATGCCCTGAGTAGGGGAAAAAAAGGTTCAAAGGCAGTTATATTTATGAACCCTCTGCTCCAAGTTCCCAATAAACAAATAAGCTCATCAACTATAGTTCTGTTTGCACATGATATCCGTGCATTATCTCCAGTTATGGTCAGTAAAGATTCCTGTATCAAAGACTTAGTCAGTTGGTGATAATATTATTAAAATAGATCAGTTGTTGGCAACTAATGAAATTTATAGTGCTGCTACACCTCCAAAGGGTTGTAAAAGTCCACACCAGCCTCCACTGGCTGTCCCTCCAAAACAAAAAAATATTTTTCCCACCAACATACTCCAAATTGAGGGGATTTTTGCATGTTTGCACTTTCTTGTGGACCATTTTAGGTTTAGGATAGGTCTTTTTTCTACAGGAAGTGGCTGGAAAATCAATTTCCAGGTCTTTTCCTGTAAGAAAAAAGCCCTCTCTTGAGCCTAAAATGGTTAGGGGTGGCCAAAATGTTGCAAAATTTTATTTAGTACTGCAAGACAAAATGCATATTTGAGGGCGGGTGTGTGTGTGTGTGTGTGGAAACCTCTGATGAAACAAATGAACTTGATACAATGGTAGCTTCCTCTGTTCGAGGCCTCTGTGTCAACTCCTGTTTTTTTTTTTGGTGTTGCCGCGTGTCTTCAAGTTGTTTCCAACTTATGGCGACTCTAAAGGAGGCCTGAACAACATGTGGCCTTCCAGGTGTTTTGGACTCACAGAATTCCTAGGCATTGGACAAGCTGGCAATAGGGACTACTGGGAATTAGGAATCCCAAACATGTGGAGGGCTGCTTTAAAGGGTTTCCTACATCATTTTTTAAAACTGTGTCAGAAGTGACTTGAGAAACTGCAAGTTGCATTTGGTGTGAGAGAATTGGCTGTCTGTAAGGATGTTGCCCAGGGGACGCCCAAATGTTTTGCCTTCCTGTGGGAGGCTTCTCTCATGTCCCCGTATGTAAGAGTGAATGATTCACCTAGGGCAGTGGTGGCAAACCTATAATAATAATAATAATAATAATAATAATAATAATAATAATAATAAAATTATTCTTATTCTTATTCTTCTTATTATTATTATTCACCTAGGGCAGTGGTGGCAAACCTATGGCACGCATGCCATGGGGGCACCGAGAGAAGCCTCCCACAAGGATGGTAAAACATCAAAACAACCGGGAACCCCCTAGGCAACGTCCTTGCAGACGGCAAATTCCTTCACACCAGAAGCAACTTGCAGTTCCTCAAATCACTCCGGACATGAACCCCCCCCCCCCCCTCGGAAGCTAACCTTCCCCCACTTAAAGGCCACCCAGGATCAGCCCTGATTGGGACATGGGTGGGAGGCCACCAATTAATCCCAGGGAGGGAACTGCACAAACACTTCAAGGGCTCCTAACCTACGAAGGCAGGAGCGTATGTGTTCCTCAGCAGTTGACTTGTAGCCTTACTTCGTTTGGATCATCTTATGCTTCTGAATAGCTGTCTCACAACTATATCAAATCTGACACCAGAAACAAACTAACATATGAGCTGAACACTACATGTGTTGCTCTCAAACTTATAAAGTATGAGTCAAATTATCAGCATGCATACGAATTCACATTAATTGTTCAAAAGCATGCCAAATGCAAACATTTACCTTTGAACAGAAAGTTGTTTGCATCACCGAAAGCTCTGTTACTGTGTTCTTTTAAGACAAAAGATGTCAATGTATGAGTTGGTCTTTTTTTCTAAACTAAAACCTCAGTATTTAGGTTAAACTGCCTGCACTTTGCAAAACATAAGTGGGTTTTGGGTTGTAATTTGGGCACTCCGTCTCTAAAAGATGTGTCATCACTGACCGAGGGTCATCCATGGCCAAGCTGAAAATTGAACCCTGGTGTCTAGTCATAGTGTAGACACCAGGCTTTAGCACAGTAGGCTAATCACCAAGCTTCAATAAATCTTGTCAACTGGAAGGTTGACAGTTTGAAGCCCGGGTCAGGGTGAGCGCCTGACCTTAACCCATCTTCTGCCTACCTAGCAGTTCAAAAACAAATGTGAGTAGATAAATAGGAACTGCATTAAAAAGCAGGGAGATATTTTAAGCATGGTTTTTCAATCAGAAAAGGAAGGAAGTTTACAAACAAAGAAAGCTCTTCGGCAAGGTCATGGATCAACAGCATCCCCCTGTTTTCGGCCTCCAAAGATGCCGAAAGATGGGAAAAGCCTATATATACTGCACCTCTATCTGTTGTCTGTCTTGTCTTTGTATAATCGGCATTGAATGTTTGCCGTATATGTGTTCTGTGATCCACCCTGAGTCCTCTTTAGGGTGAGTAGGGCAGAATATAAATACTGTAAATCTATATAATTTAAAATGTAATGTTCGTTTGTGGGATTAACAGAACTCAGAAACCACTGGATGAACTGACATCAAATTTGGCAGCAAAACACATTCTAATCTGATCTATGTCTTTCAAACAAAAAACCCCGTAAAAAATGAAGGCGAAATAGCTTAAAACTCCCCTAAAAGAAAAATGCCTTACAGAGCATGCGCAAAAGCTCCTCTCCCCACTGCGCAAGAAGAATGAAGCACCAACCATTGTGAGGGAAGAGAAGCCTCGCCATGGAGTCCCTTTCCATGCAGAAAGGCAGAGTCCTTTTTCTTTTGGGGAGGGGAGGGATTGAAGAAAGGAAAGAGGGAAGGAAGGAGAAGGCCTGGTCCAACTGAGGAGTGGGGGCTTGGCTAGGCAAGCCCCGGCAGCAGCTGGAGCCACCGCAGTGGCTCCATGAGGCCCACATGGCTACTAGGCAACTCTTCCCCCAAGACCAGAGGATTGCAAGGCAAGCCTGACTGCAGGAGTGGCTGCACACACCCCACCGCAGGGTTGGGTGAAGGGAGGAGGCGAACCATGAGAAGGCCAGCAACTCTCCTACTTGGGCTCCACATCCCCCCTTTCACTCCCCCCAAACCCTTTAAAACCCCTTACAAACTGTCCTGGAGGAAGGAGGGGAAAGAAAGGGAAAGGAGAGAAGAAAGGAAGAAAAGGATTGGTGAAGAGAAGATTATGAATGAAGGAAAGGTGGAAGGAAAGAAAAAGGAAGGGAAAGGAGGCAGGGGTGGGAGAGTAAAGGAAGGAAAGAGGCAGGGAAGCAACAAAGAAAGAAAGAAAGAAAGAAAGAAAAAAGAAAGAAAGAAAGAGGGAAACTGGTGAAGGGAAGAGAAGAATATAAATCAGAGAGTCCTAGAGTTGGAAGACACCTGGTGGGCCATCCAGGCCAATCCCATTCTGTGAAGAAGCAGGAAAATCACATTCAAAGCACCCCCCAACAGATGGCCACCCAGCCTATGTTTCAAAGAGGCTTTTTTGAGTGTTTTGGCCAGCATGAATATAACTGAAAAGCCTTGCAGCTTCAGTGGCTGCTTCTCATTACTTTATTTTCCATGCCACCTTGCACCTTAACAGCCTGGCTTCTACTAGCCAGCAGGAAACCTTTGGTGGGAGAAGTTCCCTAGCCCAGATTGCTTCATGTCTGCAAATCCTGTTTTCTGAGGGTCACAGCAATGCGTGGCCGGGTACAGCTAGCAAATAAATAAATAATCCAACACTCAAGCCACTACACCTCATTGGCTCTTGCTGGATTTGCTTTAAATTAAGTTTATAGTTTACACTTCACACCGCTTTTCTGCTGGAAGGCATTACAAAACATTTGCCCTTCCTAAGAAAAGCAAGCTTTATTGGTGCACACATTTCTTTTTTCAAAAGCCTTCCTTCTTGTCAAAAGAAACGCATATAGCATTTTAAGCAAGGAGTAAACGTATTTCTTCAGAATCTTTTAAAATAACAAGCAATGTACATTTACCTTTGAATACGGACAGATTGGTCTGTGAAATTTTGTTTGCTCATCAAGACATCGGCTTCGTCCAGCACAAACACTCTTATTTTTCGCACATCCATAAATTTGAGCTTGAAACACCAATCGAGCAGGCTCCCCGGGGTTCCAATCACTATCTGCTCTTCTACTACACTCCCTCTTAGCACTAGAGAGAAGAAAGTTAAAGGAAAGAGGCCTTTAATGCTATGCTTTTAACTACTAAAAAGGCTGCTGCAAGAAATGGAGTCTACTGTACAACTCTAAGTATGAGATGCTACCAAATATATATATTATAGCAAAAGTAGCTGAGGGGGATTATATAAAAAGGCTTCTTAAACATTTTCCATTTGTGACCCCTTTCTATAAAAATAGATATTAAAAATCAAACATTTACTAATTACAAACCAGCATTTTCAAGGCTGGCTTTCCTTTTCATAAAGTACAGATGAAGCATTTTCTGCAGAGTCTACTGTAAACGCAAGTCGCAGCTAACCATTCTGAATAAATGAGTAGCATTCAGAAACCTTTTACTATTGCCAATGTTTTTCCCAATAATGAGCTAAGGGGAACTCATGTGGGGTCAGGACCCATTGTTTAAGAAGCCGTGTTCTATAACATACATGTTTAAATGTTAGGCAGAAAGACAGACGTATAAATGCATGAAAGAAGGGTCTTACATCTGTTCCCTCGAACAGCATACGTAACTCTTATGTTGTCACAGAACTGTCCCATTTTCTCAACTACTCGTCCAGTTTGCAGAGCCAATTCATAGGTGGGGGCCACACAGAGGCACTTCGGGATGAAAGCACAAAATAGAATGAGACAAAGAGGTCAAGCAAGTTTTGAACACTATTTTTCAGCCTTCAAAATGGTCCAAACTGCTGCTCTGCAAGTTGTAGCAAAACCCTTACTAAGTAAAGGTTTCCCCTTGCATTAATTCTAGCCATGTCTGACTCTGGGGGGTGATACTCATCTCCATTCCTAAGCCAAAGAGCTGGCATTGTCTGTAGACACTTCCAAGGCCATGTGGCCAGCATAACTCCATGGAAGGATCCCCTGGTGGCGCAGTGGGTTAAACCCCTGTGCCGGCAGGACTGAAGACGGACAGGTCGCAGGTTCGAATCCGGGGAGAGGCGGATGAGCCTCATGCGGGGACATGAGAGAAGGATGATAAAAACATCAAAACCATCCAGGCGTCCCCTGGGCAATGTCCTTGCAGACGGCCAATTCTCTCACACCAGGAGTCACTCCTGACGTGACAAAAAAAAAAAAAACCCTCTATGGAGTACCGTTACCTTCCTGCCAAAGTGGTACCTGTTGATCTACTCACACTGGCATGTTTTCGAACTGCTAGGTTGGCTGGAGCTAGGGCTAACAGCGGGAGTTCATCCCGCTCTCTGGATTCCAACCACCAACCTTTCCATCAGCAAGTTCAGCAAATATATTGTATATAATATAATATATATAATATTATAATGTAATACAATATAATACTACTAATAATAATATGATATTATAATTATATATTTTATATTACATGTAATATTACTAATAATATTACAATATAATGGTATAGTACAATATAGTAATATATAATACTGATATTGTACTACGCAAATAATATAATATATTGTGTGTGTGTGTGTGTGTGTGTATAGGCCACTCTGAGTCCCCTTCAGGGTGAGAAGGGCAGCATATAAATGTTGTAAATAAATAAACAAGTCCAGTCATGACCAACTCTGGAGGGTGGTGCTCATCTTTATTTCTAAGCCAAAGAGCCGGCGTTGTCCATAGACATCCTCAAGGTCATGTGGCCAGCATGCCTGCATGGAGCACTGTTACCTTCCTGCTGGAACGGTACTTACTGTTCTACTTACATTGGCATGTTTGTGAACTGCTAGGTTGGCAGAAGCTGGGCCTAACAGCGAGAGCTCACCCCGTTCCCCAGATTCGAACCACTAACCTTTCAGTCACCAAGTTAGGCATCTCAGCGCTTAACTCGCTGTGCCATCAGGAGCTCCCAAAAGTAAATGCTCGCGGAAAATTTGTTAGGGACATATGAATGTATACATTAGTTGTATGTGTTCATATTTTTTATTGTTGATCACTAGAAAGGTTGGCTCACCTCCCTTTCTTGCCATTACCAAAAAGTCTCATTGGCCTGGTGTAGACCTGATGAAGCCCACCCTCATAAGGCCTATTGTTACCTTGTGGGGAGCAAGTGGGGCCACAGAAGTATGGACTCTTTTCCCATAGCCCAGTAATGTCAAAACTGTGACCCTTCAGCTGTTTTGGACTTCAGCTCCCAAAATCCCAGTCATACAGGTTACATGACCTTGGAGGTGTCTATGGATAATGCCAGCTCTTCATCATAGAAATGGAAATGAGCACCACCACCCCAGAGTTGGACACGACTAGACTTAATGTCAGGGGAAACCTTTACCTTTACTTTTTTATCTGCTTTTGACTTGGAACAATTTGCACCCATCAGATTCCAGCCTCTCGGCGAAAGTCTTAAGGTATTATTGTGGAAAAATTACACACAGCATCGGGCACATGGATAAAAATATCATCATATTGTTGGCCTTTTGTGTTTTCCTTCTATTTTTTACCCCGTCTTTACTTCATACAGAATGAAAGATGTTCAATTTCCAACAAAGTAGACAACTCTAAGAGCTAAATTTGCATTGGCAAAGAACTGTAGTTTTTTACTTCAACAGTGTCATATTAGCTGTAAGGCCCAGTTCTGTCAATTTAATGGCAGCTTCTAGGTTTTCAAAGTTTGCCTCGATAATGTGTTGTCAAAGGCTTTCATCAGTGGGTTGCTGTGAGTTTTCCGGGCTGTATGGCCATGTTCCAGAAGCACTGTCTCCTGACGTTTCGCCCACATCTATGGCAGGCATTCTCAGAGGTTGAGCGGTATGCTGGAAACTAGGCAAGTGAGGTTTATATATCTGTGGAAAGTCCACGGTAGGAGGAAGAATTTTTGTCTGCTTGAGGCAAGTGTGAATGTTGCTAATAAAGAGCAACACTGAAAAAACAGGGGAAATCCAGACAAGAATCAGTCAGGGTCAGCTAACACCTCCCAACAAAGGAATCCCCCAGGCAGCAACCAGTCAGGCTTTGAAGCTACAAGGCCATTAAATGCTAATTAAGGTGCTCATTTGCAACATTCACACTTGCTTCAAGCAGGTAAGAGTTCTTTCTTCCTACCCTGGACAATCCAGAGATATAAAAACCTCACTTGCTTAGTTTCCAACAGATCCCTCAACCTCTGAGGATGCCTGCCATAGATGTAGGTGAAATGTTAGAAGAGAATGCTTCTGGAACATTGCCAGACAGCACGAAAAACTCACAGCAACCTATGTCAGATATGTTTGAAATTCTCGGGAGCAACCAATTGAAGCAACTTACAAGTTAAATGTATTGTTGAAGGCTTTCATGGCGGGAATCACTGGGTTGTTATGATAATGGAGACAGCTACTATGACTGTATAATTAATGTTATTGGGTTGTTGTAACTTTTTCGGGCTATATGGCCCTGTTCTAGAGGCATTCTCTCCTGACGTTTTGCCTGCGTCTATGGCAAGCATCCTCAGAGGTAGTGAGGTCTCACATATATAATGCCTCCAGAACATGACCATATAGCCCGAAAAAAACCTACAACAACTCAATAACATTAATTATACAGTCATAGTAGCTGCCTCCATTATCATAACAATCATCATAAGGTCTAATTCAATGTCAAAGTGTTGTTGTGCCTGCTGGCCAAGAGCCTCGTTCCAAAACCATTATTTTGGTTTTTTCCTAAAGGAAAGGAGGGAGGACGCCGATCTAATCTCACTGGAGAGTGAATTCCACAAGCGGGGTCACCGCTGAGAAGGCCCCGTCCCTTGTCCCCACCAGACGTGTTTGCGAGGCCGGTGGGACCGAGTGCAGGGCCTTCCCAGCAAATCTTAAAGTACGAGGTGGAACGTAGAGGGGGATACGTTCAGACAGGTAAGCTGGGCCTGAGTCATATAGGGCTTTATAGGCCAAGACCAGCACTTTGAATTGTGCTCGGAAATGGACCGGCAGCCAGTTGACATAGCGGAGGGTGGGGGTGTGCTCCCTGTATGGTGCTCCAGTGAGCAATCTGGTTGCTGCTCGTTGGACTAGTTGAAGTTTCCGAACAGCAACCTTGCCTAGATAGTAAACGTGCCAAAGTCTGTATAGAATGCAAGGGGCCAGCCATTGCTTGGGTTAATAATGATTTTAGGAAAGGTTCTAGAATACAGGCTGGATTAAGTGCATCGAGGCTGTTTCCAAAGTGAATGGTGTTTATGTTACCTGTGGAAATCTCTGTTTTGGATTTACTCTGCTCAGCATTGCCAGAACAAAAGCAGCCGTTTTGCCTGTCCCTGACTGACTTTGTGCTATAAGATTTTGGGGTCTGAAATAAGAGAATCAAATAGGTATTAATGCAAAGTAATGGCAACAGTTCAATCATAGAAAAGAGTAGAAGGATTATATAGTACATTCTTGGTTTTTTTAAGGAAATAATTAAGGGTAAAGTTCCTAAATAAGACAGAAGTAGTATTTAAAGAAACAGTGAAAAGACAAGCAGCATAGCTCAAGACATACTTAAATATAAAAATAAGGAATGCATGGAAGAAAATGCAATATTACTACTTATTGTGAAGGCTCTTCCTCTGTAATGGATGGAGAATATCCTCAGGTGGGTAATCCTATCCCACTCTTTGAGAGGTAAGGCAAATTCAGATTAGATTCAACTATATATTTGAGTGGGAGATAGCCCTTCTAATCAAGGAAAGAAATCCCAGACAGGAAAAAGGAAGACATCAAGAAAAAACTTTTTTTTTTGGTTGGGCTGTGTTATTATCAGTGGATTTTGTTAATGCTTGTGTAAATTGGGAGGAGGCTGAGGTTGAAAAAAACACAAAAAACGGAGTGTGAGACCCAAGAAATTGTCCCTAATGACTTTAATAATAATAATAATAATAATAATAATAAACAACTTTGGGGAACTAAACAGGGTCTTACAAAGGGCTGCTTTCCCATTACAACTGATGTGTGGCAACAGGAAAATAATAATAATAATAATAATAATAATAATAATAATAATAATATAGTAATTTCCTTTCTTCCTTCTCTCCCTCTCATGGACCTTATTTTAGGTCTTATGGCCCACCACTCGGGGCCCACGGGTTAGGAACCACTGGTCTAATGGATGCCATTAACACAAGTGAGATTTTCCTTTAAACCAACTCACGGGTCAGCCAGAATCATCGGTAGTGCAGTTTCTTGTATCTTGGATGGTCTATTGAAGCCCATGGCATAAACACCATGCAGCAATTCAGGTTTTCTGTTAAAATGACAAATATGGAAGTTTTTACAGCCATCTAACTCAGCCATCTAACTCTGAGGAAAATTCGAAAATTCTCTGGAAGGATCCCTACTCTCCAGGAATTATAAAGGCCTTAAAGGGATGTGTCATACACAGCCTTTCCTAATTACAAGAATGGTAGTCATTAAAACTATACTTTGAAAAACACAGATAGTAAGGCCAGAATAGAAGGAGATTGTTAAGATGCTTAGTTTCATACAAAGCTAATCACAAACATAGAATGGAAGGACTGTATTGTCATTGTACAACGAAATTAAATGCTGTTGTTGAAGGCTTTCATGGCCAGAATGGGTCCTCCAGGTCAGATCCTCCTTAACAGTGACACTCAGGAACTTAAAACTAGTGGCCATCTGCTCCACTTGGTTTCCATTTTATTTATTTGTGTATTTATTTACTTTATTTGTATACCACCTTTCTCAACCCGTAGGCGACTTAAGGCGGTTAACAGGGTAAAATTCAATGCTTACAATATCATAAATACAATTAAAAACATAACATATAATAAAAATTAAACATATCAATAAAATATAAATTCATAGTGTCACCGTGTTAAAAACATTGGCCAGTCTCATTGTCGTCATTCCATTTTCCTATGTCACTTACTCTGCATTTGGAAACGCCACGTCGTGACTTTTTTCCAGAATGTTAAAAGGGAGGTGGCCAATGTAATATCTATAGGGAGGGTGTTTCACATCCGAGGGGACACCGCCGAGAAGGCCCTGTCTCTCGTCTCCACCAAACGTACTTGTGACGAAGGCGATAACAAGAGCAGGGCCTCCCCAGATGATCTTAAGGTCCTAGATGGTTCATAAGGGGAGATGTGTTCAGACAATGTAAGTTGGGCCAGAACCATTTAGGGCTTTATAGGCTAAAGCCAGCACTTTGAATTGTGCCCAGTAGCAAACTGGCAGCCAATGGAACTGGCGCAACAGAGTTGTATGCTCCCTGAGAGCCGCTCCTGTTAGCAATCTGGCTGCTGTTTGTGGGACCATTTGAAGCTTCTGGACAATCTTCAACGGCAACCCCACGTAGAGCACGTTGCAGTAGTCTATACGGGATGTAACCAGAGTGTGGACTACTGTGGCCAAGTCAGACTTCCCAAGGTACGGGTGCAGCTGGCACACAAGTTTTAACTGTGCAAATGCTCCCCTGGTCACCGCCGAAACCTGGGATTCCAGGCTCAGCGATGAATCCAGGATCACACCCAAAAACGGAACGACTCGACAATGTTATTGGATTAAGCTTTTAACTAGGAGACTCAAATTGATATATGTTTTTATTGATATTGATTGTTTTACTTGGTTTTATATTTAAATTGATTGTTTTTAAATTGTATTTTATGTCTTTGATATTGACTGTAAACTGCTCCGAGTCGCCTGTGGGCTGAGAGGGGCAATATATAAATGTAGTAAATAAAATAAATAAATAATAATAAGCTGCTGAATTTCTGGTCTGTTCTTTCTATAGTCCCACCATAAGCTCCTTGGTCTTATCAATGTTCAGAACCAGATTACTGTCTCTGCACCATGAGAGCAGCCATTCCACCTCATCCCAATAAGCAGACTCATCCCCTTCAGAGATACATAAGCCCACCACTGTTGTATCAGCTGCAAATTTGGTAATGATAGTGCTATGATGGATGGGGTGCAATCCATTATAGTGATACTTACTCAAAGCAAAACTACTGGAATGCACAACTAAGTTTGTTCAATAAACAAGAATATGGCACCAAATAAAATAAAACATGATAGAACTCAAATAATTAAGATTCAATTAATTACACCAAATGACAACAATGAACATAAGAAGCAAAAAGCATATACAATCAACTGAAAGCAGGAAAATACATTATTAGGTATGCAAAATAGATCCCTGCCAATTGTATTATCTTCAAACTGCTGGGATTTAATAATAATAATAATAATAATAATAATAATAATAATCTTTATTTATACCCCGCCACCATCTTCCCAATGGGGAATCGAAGCGGCTTACATGGGGCCAGGCCCAAACAACAATTACAATAAAGAAAACCAAAACAACCGAAAACGCAAACAATAAACAACATCATAATTAGGTTTTTGTGGGTTTTTTCGGGCTATATGGCCATGTTCTAGAGGCATTTTCTCAATGGCTTCTCTGTGTAGTCTGACATGGTGGTTGTGAGAGTGGTCCAGCATTTCTGTGTTCTCAAATAATATGCTGTGTCCAGGCTGGGTCATCAGGTGCTCTGCTATGGCTGACTTCTCTGGTTGAAGTAGTCATGTTCCTTGATTCATGTTTGGGAATTGCTGCGTTTGGTGGACCCTATGTAGACTTGTCCACAGATGCATGGTATATGGTATACTCCTGCAGAGGTGAGAGGATCCTCTTGTCCTTTGCTGAACGTAGCATTTGTTGGATTTTCTTGGTGGGTCTGTAGATAGTTTGTATGTTGTGTTTCCTCATCAGCTTCCCTATGCGGTCAGTGGTTCCCTTGATGTATGGCAAGAACACTTTTCCTCTGGGTGGATCTTCATCTTTACTCTCGTGGCTAGATGCAGGCGAAACGTTAGGAGAAATGCCTCTAGAACATGGCCATATAGCCCGAAAAAACCCACAAGAACCTAGTGATTCCAGCCATGAAAGCCTTTGACAATACATTGAACATCATAATTACATAAAACATATGAATACATAACATTATAAGAATTACAATAGACACAGACACAGAGACAATGGGCGGGCTGCATGTAATGATTAAAAAACAAACTAATTAAAACTAATTAAAAATTCAGACAAGATAAAAGAGAGAAACAGAGTTCAGATTTAACCACCTTCAAAGATGTTTCTTCTAGAGCTCCAGATATTAAACCTTTGCGCCTGCCGATTATGCAGAGATCTGGGAACAAATGTATAACAGAAGAATGGAAAGAGACTGGCAAAAGAATGCACAGATGGCAAAAAGACTAGGAAAAGATACTAAGAGGTGTTTCAATTTTAAACTGGCATGGTAATAACATTTCTAATGTGCAATGCAGTTTTTAGGAGAAACACTACTACAGAAAGCAATCATGAAAAAAAGTAACTGAACTTTGACTACATTACTCACAAATGCAATTCCTCAAAAGTTTTCACAGAAAACAGTGGTGATCTGGGATCCCGCTGCAGAACCTCCACATTGTGACTGGATTCCACTAGAGATTTTCTTATCAACTTATTTAAGAGGGAGGCTTCATCCAAAGTCACTGCGTTTGGTGAAAAAAAATACAAACACCATCAGTTTAGCATATGAAAAACAGGATTTTGTTTCTTTTGAGAGCGGGATTAGAAAGAAAAGACAAGTCTGCAAAGAGAAAAGGTGAGCATGTCCTGATGCAACACCTAGTTATTTGAATACAGTGGGAAAACTAACTGCGAGCACGGATTGTCCTGTGATGAATTTCTCCATACTAAATGCTTGTATCTATGGGGACTACCCATTTCATCATCCGTACTGAGTGTGGGGAATGCCTGAACTGATAGATATAACTGTACTGCAACCCCCATCAGTGCTGGACAGCATAACAGATGATGAAGGATAGTAGGAACGACAGTTGGTCTGAAGGCTTCACATTCTACACTCTTAATCCATAATTATGCTCCATGTTCAAAGTCTTACACAAAAGTTGAATATTTTAATGAATTAAAACTATTCCCTACATGATGTGCTGTTTCAGTAACTGAAGAATCTTACAAATTACAAACTAAATACTCATTATAATTGTAGTCTTACCTCTGTCATCATCCTCATCGTCATCATTATTCAAAATTGCCATGTTTCTATTGCTGGTTGTTTCATTATGTCTCCCTTTAAAAAAAAAAAAGATTGTAGAGTTTACAGTAGAATGTAACACTTCACAGGTAACCGAGCAAAGATTCTCGTCAATATTGATGGGGAATCTGACCTATTAGGAATCCCACTGGAGCATTGCAGCACACCCAAATACTTGGGAGTCACTCTGGACCGTTCTCTGACCTACAAGAAGCACTGCCTGAATATCAAGCAAAAAGTGGGTGCTAGAAACAATATCATACCAAAGCTGACTGGCACAACCTGGGGATCACAATCAGACACAGTGAAGACATCTGCCCTTGTGCTATGCTACTCTGCTGCTGAGTATGCATGCCCAGTGTGGAACACATCTCACCACGCTAAAACAGTGGATGTGGCTCTTATCACGGGGTGTCTGCGCCCTACACCACTGGAGAAATTACACTGCTTAGCCGGTATTGCACCACCTGACATCCGCCGGGAAGTAGCAGCCAATAGTGAAAGGACCAAGGCAGTGACATCTCCAGCTCATCCCGTTTGGGTATCAGCCAGCACGTCAACGACTTAAATAGAAATAGTTTTCTAAGATCTACAGAGACACTCGCTGGAACACCTCAGCAAGCGAGAGTCCAAAAGTGGCAGGTTCAAAACCAGAACCTCAACCAATGGCTGATACCAAATGAGAGATTCCCTCTTGGGCACACAGAAGACGGGGGACTTGGAAGGCGCTGAACAGACTGCGCTCTGGCACCACGAGATGCAGAGCCAATCTTAAGAAATGGGGCCACAAAGTGGAATCCACGACATATGAGTGTGGAGAAGAGCAAACCACTGACCACCTGCTGCAATGCAACCTGAGCCCTGCCACATGCACAATGGAGGACCTTCTTGCGGCAACACCAGAGGCACTCCAAGTGGCCAGATACTGGTCAAAAGACATTTAATCAACTACCAAGCTTGCAAACTTTGTGTTTTTTTAATCTGTTTGTTTGTTTTGCTCTGTTAGAAATATAATACAATGGTCTGATTGCCCCTGACTCGATAAATAAATAAATAAATAAATAAATACCTATTAGGCTCAAAAATAACCCTCACTTGGGGTGATTCCACCATAAATATAGCAGAGTATAGAAGTAAACTTCATAACTAGCAGAAATGTACGTGTGGCAAGCTAGGATAAGCTTTCTCTCCATAGGATGGCACAGGATTGTAGACTCAGAACTTTAGGTTCAAAAGTATTTATTGAAGTAAAAAAAAACATTATTGATAGAAAGGATCTTAGAGCTAACTAGCTTACTAAATCTTAACTTCGAAAGAAGTGAAAGGATTAAAACTCAAAAAAAAATCCATGCAGCTACATTTTGCCTAAAGAGAGAGGCAAAATGTGTTCTCACTGGAAGGAAGAAAAAGCAGAAGAGACTGGAAAATGGTGAATGCCCACATGGCCAAGCCCAGGGCAATAGAAATACATTTTAAAAGGAAGTTCACTCATAGAGATTCCATTGTTACATCTTCAAATAAAAAGGGGGAGGAGACAGGAAAAATGCATAGGAAAGTGATTTTGTATCTCTAAAATCAGGTCAGTAAATAAAGAGCAACACCTCTCAACAAATAAAAAGGGGGAGGAGACAGGAAAAAAACATGCACAGTAATGCGTGGAAGAGAAATCCCTCAGCCTAATCCTCTCCCTAGTCTATCTACTCATTGAGGACTGGAGACTTGATGACACAAGAGACTTGTGCAGTCCAGGGATGAAACCAACAAATATCAAAACAGAGAATTATCTTACTTGCCCAGTTAAATGATCTGTAAGGTAAAAATAAATCTTCCTTGAATGTCAGGGAATGCCTCAAGAGTGTGAGGCAAAAACTGAGAATTCATCAATTTGGTCATCTCTATAGTCTAAACTGATAGATTTATTTCCTTTTTCAGGGGGTGGGCAGCAGGTAGAAATGAAATGTAAATGTCCAGGAAAGGACACATATACTTTATTCAAAATGCTAGCAACTGCACAACAGAAAGATTTGCATGTGAAACCATCAACAGAAGAGACAGTATCAATCCTAGTGCATACTGTATAGTGCATACATATAAAACATTCAAAACCAACATGAATCTTTGCTACTATCTTCAGGACCACATGAAGGTAACGTCATTGCTTATAACACATTTCAAAAGAGATCAGATTTGTCAACACTGAACTGAACATTTTATCTAAATTAGTCTAATCCTTAAAACAGTTATTAATACTATTGTTAGGTGTTGCGTATGTGCCTTAAAGTTACCTGTCAATTTGTGCCAACCCTATGAATTTCATAAGGTTTTCCTAGGCAAAGGTGGTTTTGCCAGTAGTCCCTCTAAATTATAGTCCACAGCACTTGGTATCCATTTGTGGTCTCCTATCCAAGCACAGGGCCGACTCTGCTTAATGACTCTGTGTAATGTCTTCTTCATGACTTTATCCTATCTCCTGTCAACGTCATCTAAGCTAGTGGTAGTAAAGGTTTTCCTCGACATTAAGTCTAGTCATGTCCGACTCTGGGGGGTGGTGCTCATCTCCATTTCTAAGCCAAAGAGCCGGCGTTGTCCATAGACAACTCCAAGGTCATGTGGCCAGCATGACTGCATAGAGTGCCATTACATTCCCGCAGAAAAGGTACCTTTTGATCTACGCACATTTGATTGTTTGTGAACAGCTAGATTGGCAGAAGCTGGGGCTAACAGCAGGAGCTCACCCTGCTCCCCGGATTTGAACCGTCAACCTTTCAGTCAGCAAGTTCAGCAGCCTAGCGGTTTAACCCACTGCTCCACCAAGGGGCCCCCAAGTGGTACATTATCACATTTTATAGCTCTGAACTGCATGAACACAAGTGCAAACTCATGACTGCAAGAAGTAACAGACATATATAGAAGTACTGGACCAGAGTGAAGAGAGAGGGGGCCAGGGGACAATTCCATCTTGTCTCCTGCATATGTCATCAGTTGGGGACCCCTCCTGCAGCACCAACTGCCGCTCTGGGCCAGAGTGAAGAGAGAGGGGGCCAGGGGACAGTTCCATCTTGTCTCCTGCATATGTCATCAGTTAGGGACCCCTCCCCCCAGCACCAACTGCCGCTCTGGGCCAGAGTGAAGAGAGAGGGGGCCAGGGGACAGTTCCATCTTGTCTCCTGCATATGTCATCAGTTGGGGACCCCTCCCATCAGCAACTGCCGCTCTGGGCCAGAGTAAAGATTGAGGGGGCCAGGGGACAATTCCATCTTGTCTCCTGCATATGTCATCAGTTGGGGACCCCTCCCCACAGCACCAACTGCCGCTCTGGGGCAGAGTGAAGAGAGAGGGGGGCAGGGAACAGTTCCATCTTGTCTCCTGCATATGTCATCAGTTGGGGACCCCTCCCCCCAGCACCAACTGCCGGTCTGAGCCAGAGTGAAGAGAGAGGAGGCCAGGGGATAGTTCCATCTTGTCTCCTGCATATGTCATCAGTTGGGGAACCCTCCCCCCAGCACCAATTGCCGCTCTGGGCCAGAGTGAAGAGAGAGGAGGCCAGGGGATAGTTCTATCTTGTCTCCTGCATATGTCATCAGTTGGGAACCCCTCTCCCCAGCACCAACTGCCGCTCTGGGCCAGAGTGAAGAGAGAGGGGGCCAGGGGACAGTTCCATCTTCTCTCCTACATATGTCATCAGTTGGGGACTAATAAACTTTATTTTTATCCTGCCACCATCTCCCCGATGGGGACTCGGTGCGGCTTACATGAGGCCAAGCCCAAACAACAATTCCATAAAATAAAACCGAAAACGCAAATAATAAACAATAATAACGTAATTACATAAAACAAATGTAAACAAAAAACAACCGAGGATTCCCTTACCCGAAAAAGAGAAAGACTGAGGACACCTGGCATTCTTCAGAGTGGTGGAGGAGGCAGGAGGTCTAAGCTAAAGAGGAGACAACAAGAACATTAAACCTCTGAGATGTTGGAATCCAACAATGCTCTGCACAAGAAACATTGCCTCACAGAGATGGTGGGAAAACAGCAGACAGGGGTTGGAAAGCTTCAGGCCGGAGTTTTCCAAACATTTCATGTTGATGGCACACTTTTAGACATGTATTATTCTGCGACAGAGCAATTCAGTTTTGCAAGAAATCTCTTATAAGTGATATGGACACATACATACATTGTAACAATGAAATGTACGGGCACACAATATATCTCATGTAAACTTTTCACTTATGTATATATTTTTAAAAAAACATGAATCACTGGGTTGCTGTGAGTTTTCCGGGCTGTATGGCCATGCTTCTGAAGCATTAGCTCCTGACGTTTTATGGCCAGAAATCCGCAGTTGCTGTGAGTTGTCTGGGCTGTATGGCCATGCTCCAGAAGCATTCTCTCCTGACATTTCATGGCCAGAATTACTGGGTTGCTGCGAGTTGTCTGGGCTGTATGGCCATGTTCCAGAAGCATTCTCTCCTGACGTTTTGCCCACATCTATGGCAAGTATCCTCAGAGGTTTTGAGGTCTGTTGGAAACTAGGTAAGTGAGGTTTATATATCTGTGGAATGTCCAGGGTTGGAGAAAGAACTCTTGTCTGTTTGAGGCAAGTGTGACTTTCTGTATATATTTCAGATTTCAATATTAATGTCAAAAATACATAGTATGATTTTACATAGGATTTGTGCTACATTAGAACAATCAAGACAAATATCACTTAAGTAAAATAACATTAATTATTAAATAACCAGAAAAAAATAAAATAAGGTGTAAACACTAAACTAATCTGGAAATCTGCTATTGCAACACATCCAATGAAGTGGTTTAAAACCAGTATTAAAAAAAAGATTAGGACTAAGTACATTCCAGTCTATTTGGAATACACGAAGCTCATTCCAGAAGCGTGTTGAAGAACTGGTCCAAGTTCTTGGCCACCTTGATTAGCATTTAATGGCTTCAAAGCCTGCCTGCTTCCTGCCTGGGGGAATCCTTTGTTGGGAGTTGTTGGCTGTCCCTGATAGTTTCCTGTCTGAAATCCCTCTGCCTTCTGAGTGTTATTTATTTACTTTCCTGATTTCAGACTTATTTAATACTGGTAGCTAGATTTTGTTCATTTTCATGGTCTCCATTCAATGCTAATCAAGTTGGGAAATTGCAGCATTCACACTTGCCTCAAGCAGAAAAGAGTTCTTTCTTGCACAGATACATAAACCCCACTTGCCTAGTTTCCAACAGGCCTCACAACCTCTGAGGATGCCTGCCATAGATGTGGGTGAAATATAGGTTGCTTACCTGTAAACGTAGTTTCCCAAGTGGTCACCTGTGTATTTGCACCTATGGTATAATCCTGCGCACTCGCGCAGGCAACGGAAAGGTCTCGAGACTAGTATGACAGTTAGAGCAGCCCCGCCCTCCTCAATCCCCTCTATAAATAGCCCTCATAAGGGGCTGCGCTCAGTTCTTTCTCTCCGCGTAAAAACGCAGCAATGACAATTTAAACTTGAGGGGAGGATGGGCGGGTTGTGCAAATACACGGGTGACCACTCGGGAAACTACGTTTACAGGTAAGCAACCTATATTTTCCCCTCGTGGTCACCGTGATTTGCACCTATGGTAGACTAGCGAGCTGCTAACCTTGGACGGCGAGCGTCATGCCACAGCAGAAAATAACACAGCTCTACCAAAGGCCGCGTCTTTCTTTGACATCACATCCAATTTGTAATGCTTCACAAAAGTAGTGGGTCTGGACCAAGTAGCCGCTCTGCAAATAGCATCAAGTGGGACTCCTCTCATAAACGCCGTTGATGTCGCCACCGCCCTTGTGGAATGTGCCTTGACCTGTAAAGGTAAGTCTTTCCCACACAAGCGATAAGCAAGTTTAATAGTTGAAACAACCCAAGAAGAGAATCTTTGTGAAGATACAGGAAGACCCATGGCATCTTTCCTGTACTTCAAAAATAGTCTTGAGGATTTCCTATACTGTTTGGTTCTGTCTACATAGTAAACAAGAGCCCTACGCACATCTAATAAATGTAATCTTTTCTCTAAAGGGGAAATAGGATTCTAGAAAAATGCAGGCAATACTATTTCCTGAGATGTATGGAAAATACTTGAGGCTTTGGGAAGAAAGGAGATATCAGTCCTTAGAACTACCCTATCCTTATGAATCCTCATATAAGGGTCATCACACCTCAAAGCACACAATTCCCCTGCCCTGCGTGCTGAAGTAACAGCAACTAGGAAAGCAGTCTTCCAGGACAAATGGGTTATGTCCACCGACACTAATGGTTCAAAAGGAGGCTTTGTCAAGGCATTGAGCACTACGTCTAAGCTCCATGGGGCGATGACTGGTACCACTGGTGGCTTTAAATTTTTTAGACCCTTCATAAAAAGGGACACCATTGGGTCACTGAAACAAGACGGCAAATTCACCTTTCTTCTAAACCAAGATAGAGCCGCCAGGTAACACTTTAATGATGACCAGGATAACCCTAATCCTACTAAATGAGCTAAGAAGTCCAAAATCAAGGAGATTGGGGCTTCAAGGGAATCAACACCTTTCCCTAAAGTATATTTTGAAAATCTCTTCCATTTGTAAATATATGATCTTTTCGTCGATTGTCTTTGGGCTGCCTCTATGATCGTCTTCACTGGCGTAGAAAGGGATGTTAGTCGGTTTTCTGGACTGGGAATATGCGCCAAGCTGTCAGCCTCAACATGTGGACATCCGGATACAGCACCCGGCCGTCCTGCTCCGATAGCAGATCCTCTCTCTTTGGAAGCGGCTTGAAAATCCCCCTGGACATCTGAAGGACCAGGGAGAACCCCACTTGCCTAGTTTCCAACAGGCCTCACAACCTCTGAGGATGTCTGCCACAGATGTGGGTGAAACGTCAGGAGAGAATGCTTCTGGGACATGGCCATGCAGCCTGAAAAACTCACAACAGCCCAGTGATTCCGACCATAAAAGCCTTCGACAACACATATGATTGACTGCCTATTTTACATAGACTCAGAGGTTTCTCTTTATGTTTGTGTGAGACAGCTATATACTGCAGCTGACATATTAATGCAGGAGTCCTCAAACTAAGGCCCAGGGGGCGAATACGGCCCTCCAAGGTCATTTACCCGGCCCTCGCTCAGGGTCAACCTAAGCCTGAAATGACTTGAAAGCACACAACAACAACAACAATCCTATCTCATCAGCCAAAAGCAGGTCCACACTTCCCATTGAAACAATAATAAGTTTTTCATTTTAATTATTGTACTGTTTTAAAGTGTTTTTTTGCCCTACAAATGAGATATGTGCAGTGTGCATAGGAATTCATTCATGTTTTTTTCAAATTATAATATGGCCCTCCAGCAGTTTGAGGGATTGTGGCCTGGCCCTCTGTTTAAAAAGTTTGAGGACCCCTGCACGAATGTATTGCAACACACAGTTCGGAAAGCTGTGCTTTAGGTCAACCTGAACCTTTTTCCTTCTATGGCAATCTATCTTGTCCTTGCCGTGAATAATCCAAAGAAGTCAAACTCCAGGTGTTTGGGTCTCCAACTCCCAAAAGCCTTCAGAATGCTCTTTGATTGTAGGTGAACTATAAATCCCAGCAACTACAACTCCCCAATGTCAAGTCTATTTTCCCCAAACTCCACCAGTGTTTACATTTGGGCATATTAATATAATGTAATGTATTGTATATACATATAATATTGATAATATTAAAATGTAATACAATATACTAATAATAATATGGTATTATAATTATATATTTTACATTACATGTAATATTACTAATAATATTACAATATAATGGTATAGTACAATATAGTAATATATAATACTGCTATTGTACTATGCTAATAATATAATATGCATACATATCTTGTAAGCTGCTCTGAGTCCCCTTTGAGGTGAGAAGGGCGGCATATAAATGTCGTAAATCTATATAAATAAAAATGTAATGTTTGTTTGTGATATTCACAGAACTCAAAAACCACTGGACCTATTGACACCAAATTTGGACACAAGACACCTAACAATCCAATGTATGTCCTTAACTAAAAAAAATGATTTTGTCATTTGGGAATTGTAGTTGCTGGGATTTATAGTTTACCTACAATCAAAGAGCATTCTGAACCCCACCAACGATAGAATGGTGCCAAACTTGGCATATCGTTCTCCCATGACCAACAGAAAATACTGAAAGGTTTTGGAGGGGAGTGTCCTTTGTTTTGGAGTTGTAGTTCACCTACATCCAGAGAGCATTGTGGACTCAAACAATGATGGATTTGGACCAAACTTAGTACGAATACTCACTATGCTGAAATGTGAACACTGGTGGAGTTTGGGGAAAATTGACTTGACATTTGGGAGTTGTAGTTGCTGGGATTTATAGTTCACCTACAATCAAAGAGCATTCTGGACTCCTCCAACAATAGAACTGAACCTAACTTGGCTCACAGAACTCCCATGACCAACAGAAAATACTGGAAGGGTTTGGTGGGCATCGACCTTGAGTTTTGGAGTTGTAGTTCACCTACACCCAGAGAGCACTGTGGTCTCTGGATGTAGGTGAACCCCCATGACCAACAGAAAGTACTGTATGCAATATCTGATATTTTCATTCACTGGACCAAATTTGGCACAAATACCTGATATGCCCAAATTTGAATACTGGTGGTGTTGGGGGGATTAATTTTGTCATTTGGGAGTTGTAGTTGCTGGGATTTATAGTTCACCTACAATCAAAGAGCATTCTGGACTCCTCCAACAATGGAACTGAAGCAAACTTGGCTCACAGAACTCCCATGACCAACAGAAAATACTGGAAGGGTTTGGTGGGCAATGACCTTGAGTTTTGGAGTTGTAGTTCACTACACCCAGAGAGCACTGTGAACTCAAACAATGATGGATCTGGACCAAACTTAGCATGAATACTCAATATGCCCAAATGTAAACACTGGTGGAGTTTGGAGAAAATAGACTTGACATTTGCGAGTTGTAGTTGTAGTCTGGATGTAGGTGAACTACAATTCCCAAACTCAAGGTCATTGCCCACCAAACCCTTCTAGTATTTTCTGTTGGTTATGGGAGTTGTGTGTTCCAAGTTAGATTCAGTTCCATTGTTGGTGGAGTCCAGAATGCTCTTTGACTGTAGGTGAACTATAAATCCCAGCAACTACAACTCCCAAATGACAAAATTAATCCCCCTCCCCAACACCACCAGTATTCAAATTTGGGCGTATTTGGTCCAGTGACTGAAAATACACCCTGAATATCAGATATTTTCATTTTGATTCATAACAGTAGCAAAATTACAGTTATGAAGTAACAACACAAATATTATTATGGTTGGGGGTCACCACAACATGAGGATCGAGGGAATTCTGGGAGTGGAAGTCCCCAACACCAGAGAAACTGAAAGCCAAACTTTGGACTCCAACTCCCAGAATCCCTGGCCATTGGCCAAAGCAGCTGAGGCTTCTGGGAGTCGAAGTCCAAGGAAAGAAGAGGCAGGGGAGGGCCTACAAAGCCTCAAGGCTTGGCCTTGTTGCTCACCAGGGACCCCCTCCCCACCGCGGCCTTCTTCAAGGCGGCCTGCGCCTCCAGCATCCTCCCGGCCTCGAAGCAGCGCGCCGTCTGGCACGAGGAGGACTGCGAGACGCGCCTTCGCCTCACTGCGGCTGCGCACAGGGCTGCCAGGACTTTAAAAGAGGCGGGGCCAAGCCGAAGCCGTTGGCGCCAACGAAAGCGTTTCTCCGTTGCTATGGAGACCGTGGAACGAGCTGGCGCCATCCCCCAACAGGCGCTCCAGCCGCGTCGGACTTCAACTCCCAGAAGCCTCGGCTGTAGTGGGCAATTATGAAACGTTCTGGGAGTTGAAGTCCCAAAGCCTGGAGGGGCCAACGTTTGGGAAACATTGTTAATGAGCCCCTGGTGGCGCAGTGGGTTAAACCCCTGTGTGGGCAGGACTGAAGACCGACAGGTCGCAGGTTCGAATCCGGGGAGAGGCGGATGAGCTCCCTCTGTCAGCTCCAGCACCTCATGCGGGGACATGAGAGAAGCATCCCACAAGGATGATAAAAACATCAAATTATCTGGGCATCCTGGGCAACGTCCTTGCAGACGGCCAGTTCTCTCACACCAGAAGCAACTTGCATGGGGAGTTGTAGTCCCCTGGGCAACGTCTTTGCAGATGGCCAGTTCTCTCACACCAGAAGCGACTTGCAGTTTCTCAAGTCGCTCGAATCCGGGGAGAGGCGGATGAGCTCCCTCTATCAGCTCCAGCTCCTCATGCGGGGACATGAGAGAAACCTCCCACAAGGATGATAAAAACATCAAATCATCCGGGCATCTTGGGCAACGTCCTTGCAGATGGCCAATTCTCTCACACCAGAAGCAACTTGCATAGGGAGTTGTAGTCCCCTGGGCAACGTCTTTGCAGATGGCCAATTCTCTCACACCAGAAGCGACTTGCAGTTTCTCAAGTCGCTCGAATCCAGGGAGAGGTGGATGAGCTCCCTCTATCAGCTCCAGCTCCTCATGCGGAGACATGAGAGAAGCCTCCCACAAGGATGATAAAAACATCAAATCATCCGGACATCCCCTGGTCAACATCCTTGCAGATGGCCAATTCTCTCACACCAGAAGCGCCTTGCAGTTTCTCAAGTCGCTTGAATCCGGGGAGAGGCGGATGAGCTCCCTCTATCAGCTCCAGCTCCTCATGCGGGGACATGAGAGAAGCCTCCCACAAGTATGATAAAAACATCAAATCATCCGGGCATCCTGGGCAACGTCTTTACAGATGGCCAATACTCTCACACCAGAAGCGACTTGCAGTTTCTCAAGTCGCTCGAATCCGAGGAGAGGCGGATGAGCTCTCTCTATCAGCTCCAGCTCCTCATGAGGGGACATGAGAGAAACCTCATCATCATCATCATCATCATTTAATAACATATTAATCGCCCTCCATCCGAGAAGATGATAAAAACATCAAATCATCCGGGCATCCTGGGCAACGTCTTTGCAGATGGCTAATTCTCTCACACCAGAAGCGACTTGCAGTTTCTCAAGTCGCTCAAATCCGGGGAGAGGCGGATGAGCTCCCTCTGTTAGCTCCAGCTCCTCATGCGGTGACATGAGAGAAGCCTCCCACAAGTATGATAAAAACATCAAATCAACGTCTTTGCAGATGGCCAATTCTCAGTGTGGTGCAAAGTTGGGTCGAGCTGCATTACATAAACAGTGTGGATGCACAGCCGGGACTATAATAATAATTGGTTGCTATGAGTTTTCCAGGCTATATGGCCATGTTTTTAAATTGTTTTAAATTGTTTTTAAATTGTGTTAGATTTTAGCCTGTTCTTGTAAGCCGCTCCGAGCCCCAGGGGAGTGGTGGTATATAAGTTTGAATAATAAATAAATAAATGTTCCAGAAGCATTCTCTCCTGACGTTTCACCCACATCTATGACAGGCATCCTCAGAAGTTGTGATATAATAATTATTATAATATTTATATTTATTTTATATTTATTTATTTATTTATATGTTTTATATGTTTTATATATATATATATATATATATATATATATATATATATATATATATAATTTATTTATTTACTTTGCTTGTATACCGCAGTTTCTCAGCCCGTAGGCGACTCAACGCGGTTCACAACAAGAGCAAAACGTCAATCCAACAACATACAAAATTTAAAAAACCATTAACATCATAGTATACATGGTAATAACACATCAATACCAACACATTAACAAATCGTGATCCAAATTCGTTGTCCATAGTTCCGTTCCTATATTCCTATATCCTATATTCATCGTGTACATTGCACTGTTTATCCGAACGCCTGTTCAAACAGCCAGGTTTTTAGTTTTCTACGAAACACCATTAACGAAGGGGCTGATCTAACGTCCATGGGAAGGGTGTTCCACAGCCGAGGGGCCACCACAGAGAAGGCCCTGTCCCGCTTGTGACGCAGGCAGGATCGAGTGCACGGCCTCCCCAGAAGATCTTAAGAGTCCTGGTGGGTTCATAGACAGAGATACGTTCGGATAGGTAGCTTGGGCCAGAACCGTTTAGGGCTTTATAGGCCAACGCCAGCACTTTGAATTGAGCCCGGTAGCAAATCAGCAGCCAGTGGAGCTGGAGCAGCAAAGGAGTTGTATGCTCCCTGTGCTTCGCTCCTGTTAATATCATGGCTGCCGAGCGTTGGACTAGTTGGAGCTTCCGAGCCGTCTTCAAAGGCAACCCCACGTAGAGAACGTTGCAGTAGTCTAATAATAATTGTGGCAAGTTCTTGGTGGGATGGGCATACCAAATCACCTTGTCTCTCTCCTGAGGAATCTGTAAAAGGACCAAGTAGCAACAGTCAGAACAACAGACTGGTTCAAGATTGGGAAAGGCGTACGGCAAGGCTGCATACTCTCACCCAACCTTTTTAACGTGTATGCAGAACACATCATGAGATGTGCGAGGCTTGGTGAATGCAAGGCTGGGGCAATAATTGCTGGAAGAAACATTAACAACCTTAGATATGCAGATGATACCACTTTGATGGCTGAAAGCGAGGAGGAGCTGAGGAGCCTTCTAATCAAGGTGAAAGAAGAAAGCGCAAAAGCTGGGTTGCAGCTAAACATAAAAAAAAACCAAGATTATGGCAACAAGAATGATTGACAACTGGGAAATAGAGGGAGAAAATGTGGAGGCCGTGACAGACTTTGTATTTCTAGGTGCAAAGATTACTGCAGACGCATACTGTGGCCAGGAAATCAGAAGACGCTTACTTCTTGGGAGGAGAGCAATGTCCAGTCTCGATAAAATAGTGAAGAGCACAGACATCATACTGGCAGCAAAGATCCGCATAGTCAAAGCCATGGTATTCCCCGAAGTCACCTATGGATGTGAGAGCTGGACCAGAGGGAAGGCTGAGCCAAGGAAGATCGATGCTTTTGAGCTGTGGTGTTGGAGGAAAGTGCTGAGAGTGCCTTGGACTGCGAGAAGATCCAACCAGTCCATCCTCCAGGAAATAAAGCCCGGCTGCTCACTGGAGGGAAGGATAGTAGAGGCCAAGATGAAGTACTTTGGCCACATCATGAGGAGACAGCAAAGCCTAGAGAAGACAATGATGCTGGGGAAAATGGAAGGAAAAAGGAAGAGGGGCCGACCAGCTGGGCTTTCCACAGAAGTTGAGGAAGCAGGAACCCATTTTGTTTCCTTCTGGTTCAGGATAAGCTTTGTTTAAATTTAACTGCTTTCAGCACTGCTTTGTTTGAGAGGCGGGGCTTCCTGAGTTTTAAAATTAACTGCTTTGTTTGAGAGGAGGGGCTTCCTGAGTTTTAAAATTAACTGCTTTGTTTGAGAGGCGGGGCTTCCTGGTTATCCTATATAAACCA